ATATATTAATATTCACCCAAGGATATTTTCCCATTGATTTTTAGAGTGAGTGGGAGGTGGAAGAGAGAGGGAGGGAAAGACAGAAATATCGATGTGAGAGAAACACATCGATAGGTTGCCTCCTGCACGAGCCCCAGGGAGCCTGCCACTGACGTAAGTGCCTGTAACCAGGATTGAACCCGGGACCCTGTGGTCCACAGGCTGATGCTCCATCCACGGAGCTACCCCACTAGGGCTGCTCTGGCCATCTGCATGCACACACTCCCTGTCACACGTCACCGCGGCACCTTTTACACGAGTTGTTTATTCTGTGTGCTTGTCTCTCCTGGAGAGGACTGTCCACCTTGTGAGAGTAGGGACTTTGTCCCTGTCTCTCCCAGGGTCCCCCCACATGGTCACATGTGGTACCCTCACAGCCCCGGACTATTGCAGGGCGTGGGGCCGCGCTGGGAAAATGGTGGGCGCCGGGACTGGCGAGTTTCCTGGAATAGTTGGTAAGAGCTTGGCGGAGACTCTGCCAGCTTCCGGTGAGCGGCCAGCCCTCCATTCGCCTTTAAGGCACCAGGTGGCGCTGGAAGCCCCGCTGGCAATAGAGTTCAGCAGAGCCCGTGGGTGTGGCTCAGCCATTGAGCTCTGACCTACGAACCAGGAGGTCAGGGGCCCATTCCCGGTCAGCGCACAGGTCCCCAGTAGGAGGCAGGCAGGAGGCGGCCCATCAATGATTCTCTCTCATAGGGGATGTTTCTATCTCTCTCTCCCCCACCCTCCCTCTCTGAAAATCAATAAAAATATGTATTTTTAAAAAGAGTTCAGCAGAACCATGAGCTAGAACGTGCTCGCCTCTGCTTGCTCCATATGACAGGCGTGGGGCCCATCTCTACAGAGGCTGGTGGGGGCTCTGCTCATGTCCTTCGAAGGAAGAACCACCACGTTCCTCCAAAGCAAGGTGTCAGACTCCAAGGCTAACGAGGGCCAAGTGAACGAGGCCTGCAGCCTGTTTCTTTGTTATGGGGTGGGGGCCACAACATTAGTGACAAAGAAACAGAATTTCCGGAGGATGAGGCCCAGAAATCAGGATTTAAAAAAGATTCCCAGGGGAAGGAGGAGAGGAGCCCTGGCCAGCCTTCCCCAGTCCCCGGGCACAGAGAACCGCCCTGGAGAGGCGGTTGCTAGCCTGCCGCTGATGCCCACCACGTCCGGGCACCGTAAGGTACGCCAGCCCACTTGACTCCCGAGTCACCCATGAGACAATCTTCGGGAAGGGGCAGAGCAGTAGGTGGTATTCATCACGGGTCGAGTCCACCCAGGGGAAACACCCTCTTCCTTTGTGTGCCAAGGGATCATTGACTTCCTCATAAGCCAGCACCCAATTGCTCACGTCCTGCGGGAACACCTGGTCTTTAAGATTGCACCAATGCTCTACCCTGATGGAGTCTACCTGGGCAATTACAGGTGCTCTCTGATGGGGTTTGACCTGAACCGTCACTGGCTGGATCCCTCTCCATGGGCCCACCCTACCCTGTATGGGGTAAAACAGCTCATCATCCAGATGTACAACGACCCAAAAACAAGCCTGGAGTTCTATATCGACATCCATGCTCACTCTACCATGATGAATGGCTTCATGTACGGCAATGTCTTTGAGGATGAGGAGCGCTTCCAGAGGCAGGCCATCTTCCCCAAGCTGCTCTGCCAGAACGCTGAGGACTTCTCCTATGTAAGCCAGGACTCCCTCAGCCCTCCCGCTCTTTCTCTCCCTCAGTGCAGTTTGGTTTAACATTCACAGAACACCAGCTCTGTACCAGGTTGTGCGTGGATGTGGATGATAAAGACAGAGGTAACAAGCCGTGCCACCAATATCCCAGCCCAGATGTCTTCTTTTGGGCAACCCATTGCTATTATCAAATATTGAAGGATAACCTATCGTGGCCTGAGGTCTGGGGTATAGAAAGAATTAATTGCTGCTGATTACAGTGTGTGGAAGAGAAGGATAGTCATCAGCAGTTCCACTTGGAGGATAAAAACATTATAATGCAGAACAAAACTGGTTCCTGAGGACCTGAATTAAGAAATTCTCTCTGTTGGGGAAAGATTAGGCATTCTGTGACCAAAATCAATATCCTATGACCCTGTCCAGGCAGAGGACAACCTGTCCCTGTTCTGTTCCTCAGTAAAGAAAAAGAAGTGAGGCAATATATTTATTTTGAAAAAAAAAAAAAAAAGATTCCCAGGTGATTCTAATGTGCAGCCAAGGTTGAGAACCACTGCATTAGAGAATTAAATGTCTTTATTGTATAAGCCACGAGCAGTCAGGTTTTCTGATACTCACAGCTGAAGGTATTTCTAATCAATACATTCATTTAAGATTTCTTTTATTCTGAGATAATTTCAAACTTATAGAAGAATTGTACGACCTTCCCAGCTGACCACAGACCAGTAGTGAGAAACAAGTGTTTGTTGTTTTAAGCCACTAAGTGGGGGGGGGGGGGGGGTTTGTTATGCAGCATTATGATAACAAAACCTGACTAATATCAACTTACCATTTCCTAAGTACAGCATGTCATTTATTCATAATAGTTTTGCATAGTAAATATTGATGTTAGCATAAAAAATTTCATTTTAAGTTACAGTTGACATTCAGTATTATTTTATATTAGTTTCAGGTGTACCACATAGTGGTAGACAATTACATAATTTGCAAAGTGATCCTCCCTATAGTTCAGGTATCCACCTGGCACCTTATAGAGTTATTACAATACTAGAGGCCCAATGCACAAATTTGTGCATAGGTGGGGTCCCTTGGCCTGGCTGGCAATTGAGGGCTATGGGGAGGGGGTGGCTGGCCAGGGGGAGGGACCCCGGGAGGTTGGCTGGCTTGGAGGAGGTTGGCCAGCTGACTCCCCCCGATCGGGGTCGATGGGGTGGCTAGCTGGGAGGATGGGCTGTGGGAGGTTGGCTGCGGGAGCGCACTGACCACCAGGGGGCAGCTCCTGCATTGAGCGTCTGCTCCCTGTTAGTCAATGTGCATCATAGCGACTGGTTGACTGGTTGTTCCGGTCATTGTTCAGTTGTAACGGTCACTTAGGCCATGTGGGAGGAGCACATCATCCCCAGACGGACAGCCTGGGGGCTGTCCTATATATATAGTCAATAATATATGTCTGCCCCCTGGTGATCATTGCACATCATAGCTACCGGTCGGACGGTCGCTTAGGCATATATATATATATATTATTGACTATATTCCTTATGCCGAACTTTATATCCTTGTGACTATTTTGTAACTACCAATCTATACTTCTCAATCGCTTCCCCCAACCCCTCCTCCCTTTAATGTTACCATTTTATTTTATTTTATTTTACTAGAGGCCCGATGCACGAAATTCATGCAAGGGGCTCGGCCCTCGCAGCCCCGGCTTCATCTGGAAGGTCGTCGGAACGGTTGTTCCGCTGTTCGGCCGTCTGGTCTAATTAGCATATTACGCTTTTATTATTATTTTTAAAAAATATAGTTTTTATTGATTTCAGATAGGAAGGGAGAGTGAAAGATAGAAACATCAATGATGAGAATCATTGATCAGCTGCCTCCTGCACGCTCCCCACTGGAGATCAAGTCCACAATCCAGGCATGTGCCCTTGACTGGAATCGAACCAGGGCCCTTCAGTCTGAAGGCCGACACTCTATCCACTGAGCAAACCCAGCTAGGGCTAATGTTACCATCTTAAAGATGAGGGAACTCAGGCTCAGCGAGGTTAAGTAACTTGCTCCAGGTCCCAGAGCTAGTAAGTCAGAGAAGAGGGATTTGAACCCAGGACTGTCTGACTTGTGAGCCCATCTCCCTTCCTCTATCTGCACGCCTGCACTACCTTCTGGCATAACTGTTTCCGCCTGCCTGACATGGCTGCTCTCGGCTCCCCATGCTTCTGAGCTGGGGAGGGCTGGGACCTGGGCACTGACCTTGGGGTTTGCCGAGGCCTCAGGTCACCATCAATCAATGAGGTGGCTTTTCCAGCCGCAGGGTGGATGCAGATGGCGGGTCATCTCAATCCTTCTGCCTGGGCTCCACCGAGCCAGGCTGAGCACATCAGCAGGGCTGGCGCCGGGGCGGGGGAGGGGGGAGCTCAGGGGTGACCTGTCGCCAAGGAACCAGGCCCATCTGGGTTTAAAACGGCGTGGATTCTTTTGATAGCAGCCAGGGCAGCAGCCACAGAAAATCCAGGCTGTGGTCCTATCGATTTAGCCATTTGTCTCAGGGAGACAAATCCCATTTAAAAAGGAGGATCAATGAGGTTAAACAGAAGAATATTTGCCGACCGGATTAGGAAAACCCCGTGGGCTAAAACGTTCTTAGAAAATCCTCTTAGTACACTTTTGCAGGAGCCAGGCGTGTGAGGGGATCGCCTCCTCGCTGTGTCCTCGGAAGACAGGGCTCCGGCTGGGACCAGGTGAGATAAGGAGTTTATTAGCATCTAGTTGGGGAGAGTCCTTGCCAGCGAGGCTGGCTTCTGAGGCTGCCTGAAGACACTCCTCGGTTTTCAGCTGTTTACTCTGCCCAGTTCTTCTGAAAACCGTGGAAAAGGACCTGGGTGAGCAGGGCAGCCACCGCCTCCACTGAACCATCGTCGCCCCAGGCACGCTGCTGCGGAGCCGTCCCGGGAACAGGGGATAGACAGGTGCGGCGGCTGCCTGGCTGCATACTGTTACTGTGTGCGCATAGGGTCTTATCGGCGGAGAGAAAAGTCTTCGAGTTCTGAAGACCCACCCTTTCCCCCATGGAGCTTCATGCCTCTGAGCCTTTGCACATGCTGTTCCCTCTGTATGGAATGCTTCACCCCCAGCCTGCGTGTCCTCTCTTCTGTGCAGCCCTGTCCCGGCTGTCCACCCAGACGGCCAGTCCACCCCGTTGCTCTCACGCCACCATCTGACTAAGATGCCTTGTTTATTTCCTGTGCTGGGCAGGGCTTTTTTAGTTGCAGGTGACAGGTGAAACTCAACTCAGATACGTGTCAGCAAAGGGTGACTTCCTGGTTTTTGTAACTGCAGAGACCGGGCTAGGCCATTTCCTCTCTAAGACACAGGCACAGCCAGAGGCAAAAGGGAGGCTCAGAGCCACCCGTGGAGGCTCTACTTTGGCCTCATCACACTGGCCTTTGAAACTACTGTGATCAACCCATTTTGAAGGTGAGGAGACTGAGGCTCAAAGGTATCAAGTAACTTGCCCAAGCTCCCACAGCTAGGAAATGCCTGTTCCCGCCTGCCTTGCCTTTCCTTCTCCCTGTCTTCCCTTTTGTCCACTTAACTGTGATTTCAACCCAAAGAGGGCCTTCCCTAGGGAAGCCTTCCTTAACGATCTGGCCTCGGTCAACCCCTCATACTGCTCAGTACCGTTCTTTCCTAGCCCTTGGCACAGAGTAACTTTCTCTGGGTGATGCTCGGGTTAAAGTCTATCTCCGACACTGGACAATAACCTTGAAGAGGGAAAGGACAATATATACGTATATATTTTATACACTCTTGCATTCCCGTGGATAAAACAGCATTTGGGACATAACAGGTGCTAAATAAATATTTGCTGAATAAAAGAATAAGAAGCTGAAATTCAAACCCCTGTCTTCAAAACCCAGGCTCTTTTCTGACCTCATAAGTCGGTGTTCTGCAGGACAGGAGGGGATGGGGCCATCCGGGTGAGGGATTAATAACCGTGTGACCCACTAGGAAGATGGCGTGTATGCGTGCGCATGTGTAGGACAGTGGCTTGCATCCAGGCTGTCTGTGGCCGAGGAGGCGCAACAAGAGAAGGAGCACCGAGCCAGGGAAAGGTGATGAAAAGGATAAAAGACCTCACCTGACTGTCTAAGAATCGGGGGTCACAGGGAGCTCCCAGGGCTGTCCGTCGGGGATGACGCGCTCGTAGTTATATTTGACAAGGATCACTCTGCCTGCCATTGAGCGGAGGGTGGACAGAGGCTCACAGCAGAGCCCAGAGTGCCCGAACCCAGGAGAGTGTCACCATAAAACAGGGTGGGGAGGACACAGTCCTGGACAGGGACGCCAGCGACGGAGAGGAGATGGGGAGACAGGTGGCGAGTGTGACTCCAGTTCTAGGCGTAGGCATCTGGACAGATGGTCTTGCCATCTCCCACAGCAGAGAGCGGGGCAGGGGTGTGTGTGTGAGGGGGGAGGGCTGAGCCAGCTGAGTCTGAGAAGCTGGGGCCCTTAGGTGTGGCTCCAGGTGAAGGGGCAGGTGGGTCTGAGCGGAGGGGGAGTGCCCAGCCCGTTTCTAGACCTCACAGCGGGTCTCAGATGGGGCGCTGAGGCAGGCCGATCCCCATTCATTTCTCTCCAGTTGCCTTCCGCTGAGCTTCACAGGCACAGACTGGGCGGGTCACAAGCGGAACTTGTCCGCGGGAGGCGTGGTGAGATCCTGGAACAGGGCTCTCCCTGCCCAGCCTTTCTCCACCTTTTTCTTTCTCTCTCTCTCTCTTTTTAAAGAAATGTCAGGCTCTGGCCCACCCATTCAAGCCTCAGTTCCCCCTTCTGTGAAGCACTGAGGTGCTATTAATCCATCCCTCTCAGGGCGGATAAAGAGGAAGGCGGTGCTAGCGCCCTGCAGAGGGAAAGCCCCCCACAGCTGGGGCCCCTTCCTCTCCTTGTCTCTGGGTTCTCAGCAACTATGCCCCAAAGCACAGAGGCTCCAGAATTGGGGGTGCTGGTAGAGAAGAGGACTCTCTCAAGGCCAGGTGAACCCCCCAATCTTAGAATGAGTGTGTGTGGAGGGGAGGCTGGGAGGCGTTCCTAGGTGACAGCCTCCTGCGGGGGGGGGAGGAGGGGGGGGCAGGTGAAGGGAGCAGGTGGGCCTTCCCTGGCCGGTTTCAGGGGCCCTTGCACCACCCTCCGCGCCGGCATCATTGCCCCATTTTGAGGATGAGGAACCAAGGCCCAGGGAGGTCAAGTTTCGCGCTCAAGGTCACACAGCCAGGAATCAAGTTCAAATGGGACTTAGGTTTGGAAGAAAC